CCCCTTTCCCCTTTCCCCTTTCCCCTTTCCCCTTTTCATGCCTTCTTCAAAGTGTGATATGCCCTCTACATAATTTGTTTTGGAATTGTCTCTAATTCTCTATACTAACAAAAACAGTGGTCTTTTAACCTTTAACCTGTCTCCAAATATTGCAGAAGATCTTCTGAATTATAGCTGGCATCATACTTTTGTTCTATAATAGGACAATAATAGTGATGGATGGCAAGAAGCTAATAACAAATCGGGAAAATGGTGTCTAATATCAACAAGCGAGACTAGATGATGTCGGATGTTCTGTGTCCTGGACTGGACATAGGTGATCATCCATGCTAAATCAGAAGATTTCTCTTCTTTGGCTTGGAAGATTCTGACACCACAACCAACCAAATTTTATTTAGCGTTTGGAATTTTCTTTATTCAAAGACTTGTGTGTCTGGCGCATTGCGTCGACTTCTATAACAAGAGATTTGAAATTTGAAATTTTTAGGGTCCATTTGATAACCATTTCAATTTTAGTTTTTGTTTTTATTTTCTGTGCTAGAGTATGGCGGAAAAAGAGGAAGAATTTAAGCGATAATGAGAGTGGAGATGAGATTGAGAGGGAAGATGAGATGGATGAGTAACAAAATGAAAAAAAAGTTTAAAAATTGAAATATATTTGAAATTGTGCTCACTTTAATAGATTTCAGTTTGTTGTTTTTACTTTTGTTACTCATTCCTTCCATCCTCCTATCTCATCATCCCTCTCAATTTCATCCTCACTCTAGCACAAAAAAAATGAAAACTAAAACCTAAAAACTGCCCGCTTGAGAACCATTTCAATTCTAGTTTTTAATTTTCATTTTTTTTGTGCTAGTGTATAGAGCAAAATGAGAGTAAGAATGAGAGTGAAGATGACATTGAGAGAGAGAGTACTGGAGGGGAGGATGGGGGAGAGAGGTAACAAAAGTGAAATAAAAACTTGAAAGTGAAAACAATTTCAAATATATTTCAGTTTTTAGGTTTTGTTTTCACTTTCATTACTCCTCCCCTTTCATCTTTCCTCTCAATCTCATCTCCACTTTCATTTTCCATCTTTTTCCTCTATATTCTAGCACAAAAATGAAAATAAAAATGGTTATCAAACGAACCCTAAAATTAAAATAATTATCAAATGGTCAGAAAAAAACTTTAACAACAGTTTCAAATATGCTAAAAATATTTAAGGATAGATTAAATAAATATATCCTTTCGGTTGCTAGAAGTTTACCGGCAAAGAAGATACCAACAGAGAATCTGCTAAAGGGTATGCAGTGGACAAATGAAAACGACATCATTATGACCTCAAGGCCAACAACATGATTATTAATATAAAAAATAAAATAAAAAATAAAAAAAAAACCACATTTTTTGGATGGCATGGGTGGGTGACTTAGATTGGTCTGGTACAAGTGTCTTAATCTGCATACATAAATCTTTTGTTAGGATTATAAAATTAAAGATTGCTATAATTTGATATAGATATTGCTCATCACTATAGTTCCTCCAAGTGTGAACTCTAGTATTTAGTTTTAAGTCCTCTTCTCATTTGTGGACTTGTGGTGAAAAACCTAATCCTTTTTTATTGCATTCTTTCTGGAACGAAACCGAACCCACCAATAAAAGAAATCAAGACTTGCATTAACTTGAGCATTTATATTGTGGGAACACCTCAAATACTTATGTCATGAGAACGAGAGAAACTCTTCTGTAATGGAGAGAACACTTTTTGTTATTCTCAATTAATAACTTAATTACTTGTAAGATAACTTTTTCACATATCATTTTATTATTAACTGAAAAAAGTAAAATAGTGCTATTCCCGGTAAGTTTTTTTCATGAGGACCCATTATGGGCCTTTCTTGTCCATCCGATGCTCATGCGTTTGCAGAAGTACTTTAGTAGTGAAAAATATGTTGAATATAATCACCACACGTGTCATGGGTGAGATCGAAGGGCGGCTAAAGAGGGCCCCTTTGCAGTTTCCATGGTCAATTTGGTCATGTTAATGAAAGATCATCTATTAGATAATCGAGCAACGTTGTTAGAGCCAAGACACTTTTACATTAGTGAATCACACTATTAAATATGTAAATAAGAATTTTTAGGTGTGACTGATATACTGAAATATGTGTTACGATTCACGTATCATAATATATGTGTTACAATTCATGTTATGAGATGATAAGTTAATCAATAGTATCACGTAACACTATTAGGATCATACGGAACATAATTGTTAGATGATTACACCACAAGTCTCATTATAAGCAAGCACAATCTCAAGCATGAGATTGGCTAGTCGGAAATTAGAATCCTCGAATCATAACTTGGCAAGTGGGTGATGTGTCCACTAGGCCCGAGGAGATAGGTGGGATTTCCACATGAGGTTTGTAGCCGTCCTCATCATCAAGCATGCCATTGAAGTTAAATAAATTATTGATGTGCTTAGAGGGCGAGTAAGACTGTAGGACACACAAAATTGGCGTTGGATGATTAAACCTATGAGATTATAAATTATTCTTATCATGTTCCCTAACCCACTTTTATTCCACTTTAATCAATGTCTTCTTGTCCCTTCAAATCCCTGCGGTAAATTAATCTAGGAAATAGAATCTCTTTGCTTTGCTATTGTTTTGTCGTGACTATCAAACTTTTCCATGAGGGTAAAAGTGAAGTATAGATTTTATGCATCTCTCAATCTCTCATGCACACGTAAAAGGTAAAAGATAAGGGGAATAAAAAAGTGGAAGGAAGGTAGAAAATAAGTTGAAAGGTGATGTTTACTTTCAACTAAGACGTAGGTGAAAAAGTGAGTGTTGAAGGTAAACACTTTTGAAAGTTTGAATTCTTGAAAAATAGTCAAGAATTAATTCATATTAAAGTAACTAGTTTCTTACGTGCAACTTCATTTTGTATGTTAATAAATAAATGGGGGATGAGCGTTGGAGGTTTCAATCCCAAAAGCTCCTCAAATATGAGTTCTTATATTAGGTAATTAAGCAATCGCTAAACCCCATTAGAGAATGGATGGCCAAAGGCCAAAATTACAATATTTATATTAAATTAAGCTATATATGCAGCGCTAGTTCTACATTTAAGTATAAGGATAATTAGATTGTCATCCTTGAATACGATATATTATACAAGAAATAGTCTAAACTACTGTAAAATTGGGATTTTGATATTTGACTTTATATATTCATAGCTAGGTATATTATTACTAAATTACAAACATATATATCTTTCTAGACTTGACGTTAGTTTTCATTTACTTATTATGTTAAATACCCTCTTAATC